TCCCCTCCCCCCACAGGCCTTGATGGCCCCCCCCTTTGTTTCCACCACACCAGACTTACCAGCTGCGTATCAGAAATTAGATTAGCATTGGTCAATATGCCTCCTTAAAAAAAAAAAAAAATTCGGCCCCAAAACTCTCTCTCGCTACACCCCTAGTGCCAATATTTTCTACTTCATTCCTTACATATATAATTGGAAACATCCAACTGTCCTCCAATCTCTCCAATTTTCTAACTTCCCTACAGAAAAATATGGGAGATTGGAAGCAAACTGTCTTTGCCTCCAAAACAAAACAAGTAGCAGAGAGAAAGCACTGAAGCACCTTTGGCAAAAGCTCTCTCTTCCCAGTCACAGACCACAAACACACAGACTCGTCCTGGAGAGACCTCTATAAAAACCCCAGCTCTCCTCTGTAGAGAACAGGAAAGTGACTGTATCTCATGATGGATGACAGTCAAGTTATTTTTACAGGTATTCAGGTTGTAGCTGTATTGGTCTAGAGGCAAAAGGATTAGACCAACTAGACAGTTATTTTTAATGCATTCTCTGTATTTGAAAAGAAATAGGGTGATAGGAAAATGATAGAAGAGTCATTATTTGTTTCTAATTTTTTTTTTTATATACACTAAAAGACAAACATATTTTAAAGTGACATCCTTTAACAAATAAAGTTTTAACAAATATACAGGAAAAGCATATATATAATAAAAGTAACAGGCAGACAGTACTTGAGAGACCAATACATACTGTTGGTGGTCTTTCCTTAGAAGTACAAGACAAAAGAGCCCTGAACTCATCAAGTTTTGCACTACTATTCTATGTAGTCAGTCTTACCTATCTTCTTTTTATCCTCTTCTATTGGCCAACAGAAGCCACTGATAAAATTCCTACAGGTTTCATGGGTACATTGTTGATTAAACCCATTTGTTTAGTCTACCTTGAAAACAGACGATAAGCCAGCATTTCCCAACCCTTTTCACCCCACGGCACTCTTACCCAAATAAAAAAGCACCGTGTCACACTGGACATGGAGTAGGGGGGAGGGGAGGGGGGGATGGCACATGGCCAGCCAGACACTGACTGGCAGGGGCAAGGAAAGGGGGGTGGTGCGCAGCCATCTGGACACCAACCAGGGGGCAGGGCGCAGCCAGCCAGATGGCATTTTGGGCTGGAGCCACACCCCCTGCCTGGCTGAAGCCACGCTCTCTCTATGTCAGCAGCAGCAGGCGTGTGGCTCCAGCCCAAAATGCCATGGCACACCTGGACATGCCTAACAGCACACCTGTGGGGAAACGCTGCAATAGGCGTTCAGGGCTTTTAACGGCCTTATGTTGTTGGTTGTATTTTTTTTAGAGAAGTTTAAAGAATCAGGCTCCAAACCTAACTAGAAATAAAGGAATACAGATAACCAAGACCTAACACAGGAAACACTACTGCTTAAGAATTAAAAAACAAAACCTTTAATTTTGAAATTAGGTTGCACAGAATACAGATGCTACTAGTAAATCTTTAAGGTTTTGATTAGCTACTAAGTATTTGAACTAAGCAGTTCATATTTTCTGGAATGTGCACTCCAGGTATCATCCAATTTACAATACCAGGCCTGTTCAAAAAACATGCAACATAACACTGCAAAACATTAGAAGAGAATACACCTAAATAAAAAGCCAGTATTGGTTGTTACTATTTTAGGGGAGTCTACTCATCATTTTGTCCATAACACTCTTTTTGTTCTGTGAACTTGTACTGCTCAGACCAAAAACAATGCACTTAATCTGACTTCCATTAAATATTATCAACATACATTCTTTGGTGGCTATTTATTTCCTGCCACAAAGCCTGGTTAACCGGAAGGGTGAACAAATGAAAACAAAATACATCCGTGGAACCTTCTTTCTTTAAAGGAACGCGACCAAGAAGGGACAATGATGCTGACCCTGAAGGACAGAACTTCTCTAATGACAGCCAGCTATTTGGTCTGTGACCCTTGTGCAATTAAATTTGTTTGGTTGGGGTTTTGGGGGGTTTTTTTGGGGGGGGGGG